TGGGCATTACGGGAGAATAATGCCCTACAATTCAGTGACAATTAACCAATCAGAGCGCGCGTTATATCGGCCACAAGCCAAAGCCATATAATAATTAATGGTTAATAAACACAATAGCCTCCATTTAGTGTGAAGGTATGCTCAGATATTTGTCCTTGGACATTATCTGTTCCTAAAAGCTCACAGTTTTCTGGTTCTTGTTACTTCTGAGAACAGATAACGTCTGCGGACAAATATCGGGGCATATTTCCACGCCAAATGGAGGCTATTACTTTATCTTCCAGATCTAAAACACAGTTCTCCTTACTGAGTACTTGTAACATATTTTGTTAGTTCTGAGAATTTGGATCTACACTTCAACAAGACCATATTCCAAAGCCCTCATCACCAGTTTATAGGAAAATGTATTGATAAGGTGGAGAGAAATTAGATTTAGATCACCCTTACAGTACACAGTGTATGTACCTGATGCTTCTTGTGATCTACTGTACTCTAGAGCCTTTTCATCTCCCCCTCTGATTGGGCTACGATCTTCACAAACACGGCGGATAAAGTTGATGGACTTTCCAATGTTTAGAATCTTTAATAAAGTAAACAGAACGATTTCTTTTTCATCAGATACTTTAAATAATAGCAACAGATAATATTATAAAGTAATGCAGCTAAGAAACAACTATTGAATTTGCCTATTTGCCTTCAGTTGACTTCTCAGAAAAACAATGTTAAAGGTACATGAAGGTGTTTGTGTCACTAAGATTGTAAAGTACAAATTACAAAGTACATGTGGTGGTGGCCTCACGATTAGCGTGTCAACTTCAGATCAAGTAGGTCTGGGCTCAAGCCCTGGCCAGGAACATTGCATTGTGTTCTTGGGCAATGCACTTCACTCTCATAGCGCCTCCCTCTACCTAGGTGTACAAATGGGTACTGGCAAATTTGATGTTAGGGGTAACCCCATGATGGACGAGCATCCTATCCAGTTGGGAGTAGAAATACTCCTAGTTGCTTCATGCTACTTTGAAACCAGAGACAAGCGTTGGCCTGATGTGCCTCTTGGCTTGTATGCAAACTTAACCTTACATGTATACATTATTTCTATTTACATTGCAATGCTTACCTTCGTCCCAAGTTCCATGGAGATAAATGATGGTAACATCGGTTTTCTTATACTGTATTTTTCATACCACAAACGATCATCTTTAGTGTCATAGTCAACAGCCACAAAAAACTGAAAAATGTTAACAGGAAGTCTGCACATTAAAAATTACTAACGAACTAATTACAGAAATACTTGCAATAAATTGCCCCATAAAACACAGCAAAGATAACTTGAGAACTGTCATGTTTTTTGGATGAAGACCAGAGTATGACACTACAACTAAAACCTCAGTTGAGAATTTTCCATTTTCAGTCTGCAACAAAGTAAGTAACGCAAAAATATCAAGTAAGTGATCAAAGTTGACGTTGTCAGTTGAAGAAGGGCTTCAACATCAGTTTTAATAATGATGCCATGAAACAACACACTGTAAAGTACCATTGTAGGTCTATCATTTTCTGAAACTTGACTATAGTGGACAGTATATCGTAACAAAAATTGGACAAAAAGTCATGTTTTTGTAGATTGATCTGATGAGACACCTTGTGGCTTGACCCGATAACTTCCTGGGCTTTTTGTGGCTAGATTCATATTTTCGTATGGTTTCTTGCAGCCAGAATTAAAAATTCTTGCATTTGGAATGTTTTTAGGTGTAAACCGCATAACAAAACATTTACACTTTTTGAGGCAGTCTGTTTGTTCTTGCAGTGCAAAAATGTCTTGGGCTACTACTTGCACATATTGTATTTCACTTGGTAATCATATTTACAGTACAATAAGGGGCAGTACAGTTGAACCTCAATTATTCGTACCTCAATTATCCGTATTTCTTGATTATCTGGACTTTTTCTCTGGTCCCAATTTTGTCATGAATATTTATTAGTCATGATGACGATCCATAGCAATATTCTTTTTAAAACTATAGCATTGAAAAGTGCAGTCAAAAGCGAGTTTGTTTTGTTTTTAAAGAGCAAAAACAGCGCTCGCACATGTCGTAACTAATGAAGAACACTGTAATGAGTTCTGATTCGCTCAGAGTTGAGTGGTTCAAGATGAACAGTAGACCACATTGTTTTTCAAACGATTTGTAAAAGTGTTGTTTCACGACTAAATGTTGCTCTATTTAAACAGTGTTGTTCTTCATTAATATTTATATTTTCGATTCTCCGGACCCTCAATTATCCAGACTATTTCATCTAGTCCCAACAAGTCTGGATAATCGAGGTTTGACTGTACCATAAACTGCAGTATGTTTACACTAGGTAATGTAGGTTGTGTCATTACTGTACATCATTTTACAATGCATTTACCTCATTATATAAATCATCCAGTTCACCCTCATAAATCCATCTATCAAGAATGAGGCGGATTGGACGAGCAACCTGCAGGAAGAAAATTTATTATACATGTATGGCTAGGTCTGCAAGCAAGCAAGATACATCTGTTAAACACATCCTGTGCTGTGATAATATACCTGAGTAGGTGGAGCTGTTTTGCTTCAAGCCATTTGAGACTTAATTAAAATTTCATGGGTAATGAGTTTTCAGTTCTGTGCACCAAAATCAAATGGGAAAAGATTGGTAACAAGAATTTTTTGTGTCAAAATGTCATACATGTACCTGATTTCGACAAAAAAGAAAAAAAATTAGTCTGCAATTTCAAAATTTGGTCAGACAAAGATCAACGGCTGACTGTCATTCCCAGCACTGTCAACACTGTAATACTTCTAGCTGCTAGGGAAATTGGAACTAAGCAACCCAACCCATTTGGATTGCCAGGAACAAACATTCATCCAAGGCATTTAAAACTTACCAAATTTAGAGTATGCCTGACCAGTGACTTGACAAATGGATCACCATGTTGCATATTGGAATGAAGGGCTGACAACAGAGCTCCACCTTTCTTTCCTGTGAAGTAAATTAGCCATTTTTGCAGTTCAAAGATTGAAATCCAAATTCTCCCCAGTTTGTTTCATACATTTTCCATAATTTTTCTTCAGAGAATTTGGTTTTCAGTCAAGACTTCCTTCCTGGGATCGTCAGGTCATGAGATTGAATGATCTTCCCAGTAACAAAGGTACCTTACAGGTACCTTATTAACAGAGATCATTTTCTTTGAAAAACATGATGGCCTAGGATGAAACTGATGACTGTGGACAATTTAGCAGCACAAAAAACCCTCATGATTCTGGCAACGGCACTTGAGAGAAAACAAATCCAAAAGGTTTATAGGTTTGTAGACTATTTTCTCTGACATTTGCCTTGACAAAATGGACTTGAAGTCAAATGATGCAAGGGATCCAAATATTGGTATTCTGTATTGGAAAAGCCACATATAAGCTTAGATGTGTATCATGGAAACCCATGATATGGATATAATTTCCATTCCCAATTTTCCATCAACAAAACAATGAAAAAAATGGATCAAAGCAAACAAAGACCAAGATTTGTTTCTGTGGTGGCTCTAAAGAGCCATTTTGAATGGCTCTACAAAGAGTGGTGGAGGCGTGGTGGCCTCATGGTCATTGTGCTCGACTCTGGATCGAGTGGTCCGGGTTCGAGCCCTGGCTGGGTGACATTGTGTTGTGTTCTTGGGCAAGACACTTTACTCTTACAGTGCCTTTCTCCACCCAGGTGTACAAATGGGTACCAGCAAATTTAATGCTGAGGGTAACCCTTCAATGGACTAACATCCCATCCAGGGAGGAGTAGAAATATTCCTAGTCGCTTCATGCTACAGAAACTGGGATAATCTCTGGCCTGATGGGCTACTTGGCTCGTTTGCAGACAAAGAGCCACTTTAAATTCTAAATATTTCTTTAAGCTTCCACAGAAGGAAGAGTAACAACAACATCTTTACTTTCTCAATATAAATATTATATAATGTTATAGTTTATTTCATATATGTACTATGTTTTAGCTGAGATAACTGTTATAAACTTGTTTGAATGACACTGGAGGCTAAATGAACCATTAGGTTTTCAAGTTAGCCTCCAGCCTTTAATTAGTTTCTGAATTTACTAGATCAGGTAGGCTGTTGATTGAGGTCAAAATAACTATTTCATTAGACATAAGAATTGTGAGCATTTTTGAACTATTGCAATTTGAGTGCTTTTGTATCTCAATTTTGACACTCACCCATTTGGGTATTGTGTTAGTTTACCGGCAAGAATGTCACCGCCCTTCAAATAACAAGGAACTCGTACACCAATGTCAACCATAGTGGAACATACAAATAGTCTTAATTACTCAGTTAACTTTATTCATTACCATTTGATAAGGAGGACACTAACTCACCTTTACAGGCATCAACTAGTGCAGCAAGAGTCCTCAGTCTCATCAGCGGATCATATGTCCATACCATCAGTCGGCGCAGGGTAAGACTTCCACTAGCCCCTTCCCCCACAAATCCTGCATCTCCAACTTGATGCTGGCCCTCAAGAACAGCCAATAACCTGTAGTATTCAGTGAGCTCTTGCTGCAGTGCAGCACAAAAACTCTGACCCACAAGCCCCATAGCCTTGTCACCTGCGTGTGCATCCAAGTACTTGCGTATCTTGCGAAAGAGCCACCCTAACTCAGCTAATTTGTTCACAAGATCTCGGACAGCTCTTGGAACACCAAGTTTGGAATCAATGCGATATGCATCATTTGACTGGTCAAGTTTGATCACTTTTCCTTCAATTCCCTGGAAGATGTAGATAATCTCACGAAGCAGAGCAGCTTCTGACACTTCATAAGATGCTGAAAAGGTATATAAAAAATGTATGTAAACCATAAACAGCACTGGTAAGAGTTAAACAAACCCAAATTTTTTTTTTTCTTTTCTTTCTTTTGTGGTTTTGTTGGTCTTTCACGCACCTTTAATTTGCCCTGATAGGAAACTTTTCACTTGATCACTGAGAAAAGGGGTAGTTTTTGACAAAAGTTGTGCAGAATAAGGAGGGTCCAGTTTCCACTGCTTTTCTTTGAGAGGAGAAATCATTCGTAGGTCCCACTTTTTATCTGTTTATCTTGTTGTACTTGATTAGGGATGGTTAGTACTAACACTTTTCCTTACATTTTTTTTTTTTCAAAAACATATTATGTGAAGGCATCACAAATGACACAAGGACCAGCTCCCTTGAGGCTGGTTTTAGCTAGTTTAAGAGTCAATGTTATATTCACATACAAATGTGCATGGGCATTGAGTCTCTTCAAGGGCAAACAGGAGCAAAATAAAATTAAATTGTTGGAAACTTGCACAAAATTTATTTAGAGGCTACTCCACATGGGTAATAAATGATATAATAATGGAACTTAGTCACACACATTATAATTTTATCGTTTGAAATACAATCTAGCACTATACACGCCCAATTCATAGCATTCTCCATAAGCACTGCCGATTGGAGAAAATTGCAATCTAATAGTCCTGAGAGTGCTGGCTACTCTTCCATAATATGGTCGTTCAAGGTGAAAAAATGCAAATGTGAAATGATCTTAAAGTGCTTTAAGTTTTCTATAACTTTTACCTCTCCAGGCTGAAAATCACATAAACCTTACATGCATTTGGCTGAAAAGTATTAGAAACAAAGCAAAAATCTTGAACAGTTTTAGAAATGAGCAAACTAATCTTCACTCACTAAATGTCAGCAGTACATGAAGTACATGTATAAATGAGACATAAAAATGCCTTCCTGATTGAGCTAACCAAAATTTTATGATTGAAAGTAAATTTTGAAGAATACATGTATGACGACTTTGACATGAAATAAAAGCTCTACATGCATCTGATGAAAACCCAAATAATTGAAGGGTGAGTGCAAAACCATGCTAAGTGACGATTTGGGTGAAAAAAAAATTTTCACAAAAGGGCTTGAATTCTTGCATGTGGTCTTCAGTGTAATAGAAAAACGTGGTCCTGTATTTTTGTCGCTGCTTTTTGCTTTGCTTATAAAGATGCCGCTAGGGAAACTGAGTGGTTTTTCTGCATACGCAATATCTCAAAAACGAAGCGAAGCTTAGCGGAAAAACTACGGGACATTGTTAAACATACCTAAACAAAACTGCATGCGAAATTTGGAGCGTTTTTGACAAAAAAGTTCACTTTTGATTAAAATACCTAGTGCCCTTTTCCCGCCGAGGTCTTCAAATAAACAAAGCCGGGCCTTTGTTATGATAAACAGAGCCGATTCTT